CTTTATCCACTAATCACTAGAAAACATGTGTGAATTTTACCTAAGAATATTCAGGACTTTAGGCACTTATTTCTGTACTTTAGACCTAACTTACGTGCTGCTGAGCAATTGGGCAGTACTCCCAGGAAAGGGAACCAAACTAAGCTTGTATTCTTCTGTGGGAAGAGTACGATAATGCCATACATAGCTTCAAGTTTTCACATGTGCTAAGATACAGCTTCGTTCTTATTACATTGCATATATAATATATGAACACGTTTATAGACAATTCCTAGATACATTCTCAGACATATTTTAAACTGAATGTAATGAAAATATCCAAGATATTTCAGTTAGAGTGGGTTTTTTTTCTCTTTTTCATTTAGAGAAACACACCAAGTTCTGCTCTGAAACACCAAAGGTACGTTCTGTTTCTAGGCTGTTATCTTCCATAAGCTGTATTGCAAACCACTGTAGCGTTTCTGTATCTAGTAAAGAAGTGTCACTATTAGGAGGTACATTTCTTTTCTCTTGTCACATATTAGGAAAATGGCTCATTGTAAGTTTTGCTTTTATCCTTGTTACAGAAAACTGGCAGCTAACTTTGATAATGCAAGAGAAAAGAAAGAGATAAAAAAGATGTCAGATGAGAGTTTGCCAGGTTTGGACACAAATACCAGTGAGGAAAATGGAAGTCCATACACTGTGAATAAAAGGTAAGAAGGATTTTTTTTTTTTTTTTTAAGTAAGATCTGTACGGCAATTACAATATGTAGCAGTCTAGATGTGAGTTTTTTAATGACAGAATGTAGGAAAGTACTGCAATAAAAGTCACTTTCAAAGCTAACTGGTATTAGAGATACTATTTTTTTTTTTTTCCCCTGGAAACATCAGGTTATAATATGGCAACTGACATGCAATGTCCTTTGATGGTTACACCCAAAGGTCGTTTGTGTGAAGATGTGAGAGTAGTTACCCTACATGCTTTCAAGCATCAGGTTCCCTTTTTATTTTATTTTTTTTTTTTTAATGTTCAAGACTACGATTTAGACCTGTACACATGTAGAGTGATCCCTGTAGAATGATGTTTCAGCAGATGTACTAGACCTGCCAGGATGATTTTTGTATCTTGGAAACTTAACGTTAAGTATATGTAAGGTTTTATATGACTTTTTTTTTTTTTTTTTTTTTTTTAAGATTTCTTGAGAGTTTTAAAAATATAGAGCCTATTGGTGAAGGTGGCTTTGGGAATGTTTTCAAAGCAACAGCACAGCTTGATGAGAGGACCTATGCAGTCAAACGAGTTCAATTCACGAAGTACGTACTGCATATTTAATTCTGGTTTTTATTTTAGGATAACCTTAATCAAGATTTTAATACTTTGTTTTGCCTCCTTAATAATTCTATATGTGTGTAAGCAATTTTCATTATTAGTTGTATGTTCTTTCTGATAAACTTATCCTTTATTTCTAAGTGAAGCTGAAAACAGCATGTTAATTTCAGCCTGCACTGGAATAATTTCAGATGCAGCTGTAAGAAAGTAGATTTGTTAAGTTCTACCTTCCCTGAACACGCTGGTGCTCTGGTTATTAATATTGCAAAATGTGTCTGAAGAAAACCCGCTGATTAATAAAACATTGAAAGCAGCACTGTTACTTTTGACAGGTTACATAGAAAGTTTACATAATGAATATTATTAGGGAAAATAGAGAAAAATGAAAGTCATATATTTTGTGGTTTCTAATTGGAAAATGTTTTATACATGACCCATGTAGTCGTTATTCTCATGCTGTGTTACTTGTTACTTACTAATGATGATCCGAACTTTTTTAAAAGTGATTTTCTGTAACCAGTCCCTAGTGGAGTATTTTATCAGCAGCTGAAAATCTTGATTTTCTTTTAGGTAATCTATACAAAAGGTTTCAAGTTGGAGATACTTGTCCCTTACATTGTGCAACTGCCTATCAAATTCTTGTGATCGTCACAAATACTCGTTCTTTTCCTTTGTATTGCAATCATGAGAACTACGCTAAAAAACATTCTCCTGATTCTTCAAGTAAAGACTGGTGTGCTGATGGGTTTGAACCTACTTCAGTAGGCACTGTTACAATAAGTGCAGGTCAAATTTAGTAATGGTTCTTCCTGTGTATTTTCACTGTCTTATGTATATGTAAACAAATTTCAGAGAGGTGATAAGAAAACATGGGTGTTTGCTACATTGTGTTTGGCTACATAACGTAATTATGCACTGCAGCAATCTGCTTTTTTCAGTTTGTTTGTTTGTTTCTTTGTTGTTTTTAGTGGGGCTTTCATTTCTAATATGGTTAAACCACTTCTTTTACTTTGAATAACTGAGCAGGTGAAAGAAAATCCACAGAATTTGTAACTACAATTTTGAATTTTTATGAAGGAGAATATTATTGTTTGTGTTTTTTTTTTTTTTTTTTTTTTTTGTAAATTAATGTAAAACTACTTGTATACTGCTACTTGATATCATGTCTTTAATATTTTTATTGGGAAATGATTCCTCCCCCACTCCAAATAGGAATGTGCGCGAAGTAAAAGAACTTGCAGGACTTGACCATGAAAACATAGTGCGGTATTACAGTAGCTGGAAAGGGTACGACCATGTAGCTTCTCCAGCCTCAAGGTAACTACAAAATAGTAGTTTGCACTTATAAACTTGTTTGCTATAGTGAATCTTGTGTTATAAAAAGAAAGGCTGGTGATTGGTTACAAATCCTTATACAAATATAAATGCATACACATACTTCCATACTTTCTGCTAGGAAAAAAGGTACAGTGCTTTTCAGCAGCAGCTTGTATATAGTTAAGCATATTTATATCTTCTTTTCCTTGATAAGATAAATTATGTAATTTTATCTTTCTCTTAATATACAAAATTTGCTGAATCTATGTAAAAGAATGCAGAACTCAAAATTTGGGGCTAGAATTAAGAACAGAAACTAAAATTTGCCAGGCAGCAGACTGCCAAATTCTTGATCAGAAATTTCCTTTTCTTAGTAAGTACTGGTCAGCCAGTAGCTCTCAAAGATTTAATGATTTCTCTAAGTTACCATTTTAACCATAATGCCTGAAACCCACAGAAGCTTTGAGAAGTTAATAATCTAACTTACAGGTAAAACTCTCACCGCTGTCTTCCCAGAAGTCTTAGTACTGAAAGACTACCTCTAAATGAAAGAGATTTCATTTTGTATTTCTGTTCTCAACAGCCAAAACCGTTTCAGGCATTATAAGCTTTTTTCACTACCTGTAAATTCATACCCTTCAGATAGGTTGCCTAGCCTCTACCTAGGGCCATAAAATATTAATGGATTCAAAATTATGGTTGGCATGGTATCTGTCCAATGTGGTCAGTAAATGAAGAATAAAATGGTGGGGGAAAAGTCTCATGTCAGAACCTATCCATTAATGTGTTGAAGTCTCAATATGTTATGCATTTTATATTGAATAGTTATTGGGTAAAAGAGAGAAAATAGTCTTCAAATCAAGGTCCCAGCCTGGAGTTCCACTTAGTGACTTGACCTTAAGACTGCAGAGTCTCAAGCCACTTAATGTTGGTTCTTCCGGTGTTTCAGGCACATAGTGCAAGTAGGAAAAAGTGGTGTTTCCTCTTCATATTGTTCTTCCCCTCACCATCTCCAGCCACAGCCTATCCTATGGGCTGATAGTAAGGGATATCTACGGGAAACTGTGAGGCTGTCAGGTGCATAAATATGTTTCATCTAGACTTCCAGCTCTCAGAAGGGTTTCCCTAACTTGCAGACTGATAGCAAAGATTGTCACCCCACTAACTTCTTGAAGGGGCAGAGTATGAAAAAATGTGATCATTCTCGGTAGGAGAGGAAAGCTAATTCTATGTTTGAGCAGAACAGAGAATACCTGCCAGGGACTCGCAGCAGCTAGTAGAGGGCAAGATGTGAGTCAAGGACAGTGCTATTTCTTCCTGTATAGACATGCCTCTAGATACAAGGTGACCGAGAATTTGGATGTTCAGAAAACTTTTGGTGTGAACAAGGAAGCAAGCAAAACATTAGGAATATTCTAGGGGTATGGAGCAACTGAGCCAGGGACCGTTTGGTTTGCAGTTCTATTTATTTATATCTAGTACAGATTAGTCTAGAATCTTTTTCAAAAGCAAGAGACTTGCAGACTTTGGTTTGAGGAACTCTAAAAACAGTAATTAACAAAACTCTCTGAAGAAGAGGAACTTGAGAATTATTGATGGCTTTAGAAGAATTGTATCGTGCCGATTTCAATATGGCATAAAATTTCCTTTTGCAGGCAGAAGGCAGACAAAGAAATTCTCTGTCTTTTCATTCAAATGGAATTATGTGAACAAGGGCCATTGGAAAACTGGATTGAAAAGAATAGAGAAGACAAAAAGTATCACATGATGGCACAAACCAAATTTTTACAAATACTGAAAGGAGTGGAATATATTCATTCTAAAGACTTAATTCACCGAGACCTCAAGGTAAGTAGGATAGGTAATAATAAAAAAGATAAAAATAGTACTCTCTGGAATTTCATAAAATGTTAAATATTTCTAGTCTTTTAATCTGTTATGTACCCTAGCAGTGTGCCTCTTCTGGTATTGCTAGTAAGTAACTGTTTTTTCAGCAACTGGCTTGGCTTCATCCTCAAATCAGAAGGTAAACTGGTGGATCTCAGAATGCAGTAGTTCAAAAAACCAGCATCCATCAGTGAACAGGCATTTTCAGTGTATTATGTATTATGTGTTACTGGATCACCAGACTGCCTACTGCAAAAATAAATACTAACTTTAATGATAAAATAATTAAAAGTAAGAAAGTGAAAAAGTTCAGTCTAGGAATTTTGCTCTTGCCATATTGTAAAGGGATAGTTTATCTATCCTAATACATGCTGTGTTTGATAACGTACTCTACTTGCTCTTTTATTACATGTGCAAATATTTGAATGCTGCATTTTTGGATAGGATTTCAGTCTCTACAAGTGCACAATCTTTATATTGAAATAAAGTAAGTTCAATGGAAACTTAAAGTGATACTGTGAGATGCTTGTAGTAAGCCGTAACACTGCAATTATCTTAGTACAGATAATCCTGCTGTGCCTAGGAGAAACTAGGATTTGAGTGGAATTCAATGTGACCCTAAATGCTTTGACCATGTATCAAATCCCAGGGCTAGGACTGGAGACTAAGGAGTGTTTCTGGATATGAAATGTTATAAGCACAATGCACTTGAAGAACACTGAAGCATGGCACAGTCATGACTGAGCTAGTGGAAAAAAACCCTTTGTAGTTACTGTGTCATGTACTATTTTAAATTGAATTTCTGTTTTTAAAAATTAATTGCATTTTTTTCTGCTTCCCACCCCATCAATTTCTTAATGCTAATTTCTGTGAACAATTATCAAATTTTATAGGGAGCGCTTCTGTAGCTGATAATGCTTCACAATAAATCTTGGTCATATAGTGATTTTAATTTTTTTTATATATATAGCCTCAGAATATATTCATATCACATGAAGATAAAATAAAAATAGGTGACTTTGGTCTCGTGACTTCTGTGGCTCGTGAGAATCTGACTGAGAACACAGGAACAAAATCATATATGGCACCAGAACAGGTAATTATCCTGCTATATTAGTGTCTCTGTAACTAGATTTGCATTATAAAGGCAACATTGGATGTTCTTGATCCTAACCTTGGTACTAAACCAGGTTGCCTAAAGTTCCCTGGCATGACTGTATATGAGCGTAACAGCATTCTGGAGAAAGCTGTCTGCAAGTGTGATGATTTTCTTTTGCTGTCCTGACACTCTGTGCTGTAAGGAATGCTCTTGCATTGATGTGACAAAAATTGTCGCTATTTAACATGCCTGTAGGAGAAAGGGTTAATGACTGATGAGGAGACCAAGTAGGTCCAGTCTTGAAGTCTTGGGATGGGAATTTCTGACTGTCTTCAAATAGTGTTTTAAGAGTGCTGTCTAATTGGATTTGATGACTGTATTGTTCTTGTTCTAATCTTTGCAGTTTGGGGACAAATACGGAAAGGAAGTAGATATTTATGCACTGGGGTTAATTTGGTTTGAGATTCTTTCAGCATCCACTTGTCATGAGAAAATGAAGGTATGTATTCTTTAAATTAAAAAGTCATTGCTGCTGGTATTGAATGCTGGCTGCACACTAGAAAGAATCTGTGTATCTAGAACACTGTCTTTATTTACATTTTCCCCTTGATTCATTTCTGTAAGGCCCGTAAGTCCTCATGTCTCTCTTGAAATGTAATAACCAAAGTAAAGAAATACTACTGGTTTTGTTTCACTTACGTCTAACTGACATACACATTAAAGCCCGAGCATGCTCAAGAATAATGTCTAGCAAAAAAATTTCAAGTTTCTGATAAAACTTTGTCTAAGCAGAGTAATCAAAGTGAACATTTTTCTAATTTTAGAAAATAAAAATTATGTATATGAGAGTTTTGTTTCTTCCATGCTCTTGTCTTGCTGCACAGTGGAGCAAGAACAAAGTTTCTATCAAGCCAAAACACTTGCGGTTTTCCAAAATGAAGACAAAAGTGGTTTGAAATATGTAGCTTTCACTGAAAAAGAAGAAACCCAGTGTTACTTCAGCTTTTTTTTGAAAAGGGATCTTTTATGTGTCTCTTGCTTTTTCTTGGTACTTTGCACATTATGAGTATAATGGCTTATATGCTCAAACCTTCATATTTGTAGGACAGTGATGTAGCTGCTGAGGATCTTGTCAAAAGTAATTGCAAGATGTATGCACATGGTTGGACACAGAAGCCCTTGCACAGTCAGCTTGGTCCTTTTGCCAGTATAAGAAAATCATATGAATGTGTCTGCTTGACGCACAGGTTCAACTTGGGTCTCTTCAGCTACCTTGTAGCATTTTCTAAGACATCTTGCTCCTGCTCACAGCTGACTCTTCTAATGTGTCCACAGTTCCATGGTGTTACAGGCAAAAGGGCAGAACCAATTATTTAGTCTTGTTTCTTTAAAGCATAAAAATCTTGTGTCTAGAGGTAGGTGGGGAAGTCATGTGGATTGAAAGTCTTCAGCTGCTCTGTCAGTTTAGAGAACAATTTCCCTTAATGGAGCATGATAAACTCTGTTGTATGTATGTTGCTGGCAAGCCCTGCTCAAAGAACATCATGCATAAGCAAAGCTAATGCTTATGAGCTGAGTAACTGGTTCAGCTGATGCTCACCAGCAGGTAGGCTGGTGGTAGGCCTAAAGTTGAAGAGTAGGGAAAAAGCTCTAAGTTCACGGGAGCTGTTGTTCTACTGGATACTAGTTATAAGGGCTTGCTAAGCCAGGCTGTAGCATCCGTAAGACCGGCTAATGATTCAGGACACACAGCTAAATGTGCAAAAACAGGACTGTCATCTTCAGGCAAAACCTACACTGGTTAACAAACAGCAAATGGATGATGTGGACTGCTCTGTTTACCCAGAAAGTGACATCATGTGGGAAGAAAACTCCTAAAAGTTGAAATCATGTGATTAGCAATGCTTTCAATGTTAGCTGCTTTGAACTCCACACAGCATTTTCTGCAGTGACATGTGTGGTACTGAAGAAGGTAAAAGGGAAGAACCATACCGACTTGGCTTGCAAATAGTAACATTCAAAGTGGGAAATCTAAGGAAAAATCCAGAGTAAAGAAATACTGGTTTGTGGTGGGCATGTTTGTTTTTGGTGTTGGTGTTTTTGGGTTGTTTTTTGGTTGGGTTTTTTTTTTTTTTTTAAATGTGGTGAGAGGATATAAACCCACTACTTCTAAATTAAGAAAAGAAGGATAATGGTTCTGGGGTAGAGGATTGCTGGAACAAACACGTTGTAAAGTGTGAAACCTTAAACTTAAAAAGGAACAACAGCTGATGGAAAAAAAACATAAAACCAAAACAAAGTACAATTAAATTTAAATAACTTTCACGCTGTTACAGTTACTTGCTTTTTGAAAAGAGCGAGCTTTCTGAAGCCCTGCCTTGTTCATACAGTTACATTTTTCCTAATTACTTCCATAAACTGAGTCATAAAGTGAGATGCAAAATATAATAAATGAAAACATCCTAAACCTGTTCTTTTTTATGAATCTCAGGTATGGCATGATGTTAGAGATGGTAAACTTCCAGAAAAATTCACCAACCAATTTCTAACAAAGGTATGGGATTTTAATACATTATTTCAATTAGTTTATTTACTCGTTAAAAATAATTTATTGACATTTAACTTCTTTTTGCAGGCACCCATAATCAAAAAGATGCTTTCAAGAGACCCTTCAGAAAGATACTTCGTATCTCAAATACTTGAGCTTTTAAAGAAGCCTGTTGATAAAGACAAGCCATTTAGAACTCATACTCAGTAAATGCCCTTTGAAAAAGCTTTCAGAATGTGTTTAAATCCAGAGCTGGAAGTCTCTTAAAACTGATGAAATATGAGTACACATCAGAAGCAACAGCAAGACTTGGGTTATGTCTTTTCCTTGGTGTTTTGCCTTCCTGCTATTGAGAAGCTCATCAGGGTCATATCACCATTCACACCATCACCTGCAGACCAGGGCAGCATACTTCTGCAAGCAATCACTTGTGATTTTTACCTGGAAGCAAAGGTTGTGGATGAGCTGAACTATATTCTATAGTAATTTAGGTAGAGAAAATACTAGGAATTGGTGTGGGTTATTCTTCACTGAATTTCAGTTCTTTACGATGAACTTCCTTAGCTCGACATTCCTGTTGACCACCTACTACCTTCAGTGCTCTAGAACTTAAAAATACAGTAATCGAGTTTAGACTTGCTTTAAACTTCTGAAAACCTTAGGTTTTGAGTGGGTGCTTGGTTAAAATGAATAATATAAATGAACACATAGTAATTTTTATATTCTTATGGAAATTATTGCTGATCTGCAAGTACTTACTGCTAAGTAAGAATCTGATCTACATCCTTTTGTAAAGTTTGAAGTGGTTTTTGGTTTTTGCCTTATCATGAATCACGAATACACAATCATAGAATGGTTTGGGTTGGAAGGGACCTTAAATATCATCTAGTTCCAAGTCCCCTGCAACAGAGGCAGGGAAACCTTCCACCAGAACAGATTGCTCCAAACCCTGTCCAACCTGGCCTTGAACACTGCCAGGGATGGGCAGCCACAGCTCCTCTGGGCAACCTGTTACAATCTCTTGACACACTCACAGTAAAGAATTTTTTCCTGATGTCTTATCTCATTCAGTCAAAAGCCATTCCTCCTTGTCCTGTCACTATGTGTCCTTTTTTAAAAGTCTCCAGAATTGCTGTAAGCCTCCTTTAGGTACTGGAAGGCTGCTCTAAGGTCCCCCCCCAAGTCTTCTCTTCTCCAGGAAGAACAATCCCCACTCAAGTGGCTTAGCAACTTCATCTGCCAGTTCCCCCAGGACCTGTGGATGCATCTCATCAGGTCCCATGCACTTGTGCACCTTCAGGTTCTTTAGATGGTCTGAAGCCTGATTGCCTACAGCAGGTTCTTCATTCTCCCCAAAGGCATCCCTGCCTTTGCCTTCTACAAATTGGGTGGTGTGGCTGGAGCACTTCCTGGTGAAGACTGAGGAAAAAGTGTCATAGCCCACCTCATCCTTCTCCATGTCTCAGGTAACCAGGTCTCCTGTTTTCTTCCAGAGAGGGCCCACATTTCCCCTAGTCCTCATTTTATCACCAACATACCTACAGAAGCTTTTCTTGTTGCTGTTGATGTTCCTGGCCAGATTTAATTCTATCAATCAGGGCTTTAGCTTCCCTAGCCTGGTCCTTGGCTGGGATATATAGAACATTTTACTATTCCAGACTAACTAGTATTTCTTTGTTGTGGTCAAGATCTGGAAGAAATTATACCTTGACAAAGACAAAATACCAGTAGTTCCACTGCCTCTTCCCTTTCACCCACTGGGATATAACTGACATACAGTTGGATTCAATCTTAAATGTCTAGTCAAACCTTAATAATTCTATAGTTCTATACAACTACTCTTACAATATGAAAACCAGTATGTGACAAACTTTATAGTTCTTGAACAAAGCACTCATAATACCATTACCTTTTTACTGTTAAGTAATACTGACCCTGTCCCAGTATTTTTTGATACTTTTTAATGAGTATTTGATACTTCTTATGAGTATTTGTGCATGCTAGTTCCTATTAGTGACTGTTCACAGTAGCAACTGCTGCTCCCTAAAAGGTCTATTAAAATATATCTTTATATAGAAAAAACCCTCCAACAACATGATCTAGCGTTATTTAGTTGTGCAAAATAGGCACCTTTATGTGCAACAGAATATTGGTTCAAATAATGTCCCTGTAATGTTTCACAACTTTTTTTCCCCCAGTAGGTCTAAGATGGTAAAGAAAAAAACGTGATGTTTAGTTATCTTTGTAAAGCTGAAAAATAAATCCTGTTTAACACATTATACAATGGAGTAACTAGCCAATATTTATTCCTTACTCAAACCTGAATTTTATTATCAGCTGGTCTTGTTCCATTGGGTGGGGCATAAGCAAAGATTGTGGAACCTGTCTCTAATATTGCAGTTCAATTATAAATGCAAAGTTTTAATTCCTATTAATTGATGCGTCAAGTAGGGCATCTGTAAGATGCTTCAGAAATGTGAGTTTAACCTGCCAAGTATCCTTCTGTGTACTTTGATATAAATTATTCTGTGGGGCACAGCTCCACACCTTCTAAAAGATACTATGAACTATACATACTTATCTAGGGCTCTTTCCTTCTAGAAGGGGGTTAGTCATGATCTGCAGCACTGTCTCCAGGGCAGTTTGAAGATAAATCTTCAGAGTCTACAGGGTAAGCAGAGAAAAAGTGAGTCATTCCAGGTTAGAGCAGGGTAAAAAAAAAAAGAAGAAAGTTGCTAGAATTATTTGAAGAATCCATGTAAAACAGATTAAACAGAATTCAAAAAAGTTTTCAAGTTACTCATTCCAAACTTTGTTTTAAAACAGTGAACGAGTGAACACAAATTCTACCCTCTTTGGTGCAGTGAATCTGGACAGTGTTTTAACTCTTTCAGAAACACCTGCAAGCTTTCACAGCTTTGCATGGTACTGGTTTTAATATCTTTTTTTTTCCCCTCAAAATTAATATGAATACCAAATCAAATAACCGCCTGCATGATTGGTTGTTCAGGGGTTTTCTTCTTTTTGTGCACATAAACACCTAAAAATTGGTTTATAATCAAAATGTACAACGCTTTGTGCAAAAACCAGCAGGAAAACTTGCTATGTAAAGCTTAAAGCATCCAGTAAGAGAAACATGAAGAATATATTTGTACTATTTGAATCCAGCTGCATAAGCAAAGTAAGACACATGACAGGTTTACTCTCACCTTCGTAGGCTGTGCCACACCAAATGCAGTAAAAGTGGTGTTCTCTCAAATAGGCAGTCAGGATGTGTAGCTTTTCTGATACCTAGGGATATGTACAGGTATGCAATGATCTGGGTCTGACATAAACAGTTTGAGCCACTAGCTTTACTAAAATAGACCGTTTAACCTTTTGCTATGGAAAAGCTACACAGTACTGTAGCTCAGTAAGGCATGAAGTTTCCCAAATTTGTAGTATACTGCACAGGAATTCATGATCTCTGAAAAGTTAATGGCTGTTGTTTGCTTATCCTTCTTTCTAGCTATGAAACCTGCAGTGAAGACCTAAAAATATTACCTAGCTACCTTACTTCAAGTATATGATATTTTTAGTGCAATTTTTCACACCCAGTCTTTGCAAATAAAGCACATAAGGCTAACAGCAGTTGTGTCATCTTGTTCTCAAAAGATGTGAATTTCCAGTGTCCATCTTGAGATCATCTGACGCATTTTCAGAAATTACTTAGTGATTCTAAAATTCAGCCTAAGACACGAGATGAGGCATCCAGAATGAAAACTCAAAAGCAAATAATTTTGGTCATATACATGATCTTGCGTATCTTGGCAAAGACACAAAAATGTTTAGAATTTAATTTTTAGGCTATTTTTTCAAAAGATCAGCTTCAAAACCAATGAGCAATAAATCAGTGGCTTAGCATGTTGTATTATATCCTGTGACTGCTATAAAAATCACTGCTTTAAGATTGCAAAGAGGCCACTCACTACAGCTTGGAAAGTGACCTGTATACCTATGTCCTTCAGGCTCACATGTATACATACACACTTCTTAAAGGAATATTACATTTAAGTCTGAATCAAGCCATTAATTTAGTTGCAGAGCTTACACTTAAGTCCGAACTTGTGCATTCATCTTCCTTGTCTTCCTCATCATTTTTGTCTTCCTCTTCGGGTTCTAGCCAGTACCAAGTCTCCTTGGGAACATCAATATCCTTAAATAATGGAAGATTTAAATGAAAATTATTTGCCTTCGCAGGTTTTCTTGTAAGATGCTGGATTATGCCAGTTTCTAATAGGTGAGATGTTAGACTTTAACTTTCCTGTATAATATAACCAAGGATCACTAAAACTGTAGTGGGGAAACTAAGAACAGTCTACAAGAAGGATTATTTACTTTTTTTTTTTTTTTTTTTAATAAAAGTGGGTGGTATTAACAGGTTAACTGACCAAAAAATAAACAAACAAAAAAAACCTTGAAGTTTTCAAGGGTCAAATATTTATAGTAGTTCATGTGTGACTCCTTACAGGTGGGAGGTACTTTGTTTTGGATTTGTTTTTTTCTTTAAACCCTTCTTTGGTAAATCTACTGATTCCTTCAGTGATGATCCCCATCCTTGGATATACTCAAGAGCTGTCTGGACACTGCCCTGGCCAACATGCTTTAGGTGACCCTGCTTGAGTGGGAAGGTTGGACAAGGTAACCTCTGGAGTCTCTCCCTTCCAACGTCAACCATTCTATGATGATGATGTTCCCTCACTTGAGGCAAACAGCACTGTCATTTAGGGTGGCCTGACGCTGGCTACTGGAAGAGATGTTAACAGCTCAGAAGTAACCACAAGGATGTGGGAGCAAAACCAGGTGAGCTCTGATGATGCAAATTAACATGGGTTCTCACATAAGTCACCATGAGGCTGGTGTACACCTTCAGATATCTTAATGGTGCAAACATATATTTTAAAATGTTTTAAGAGGAATGAAGTGTTGCCAAACATGAAGACTTTGGGCTAGTTACCCCACAGTTTTAGAGAACTTCCAAGAATTGACTATTTTTTTGCAGCCTATATGTCTAACCTACAAGCCTTCCTTCCAACCCCAAAAAACAAGTCTCACTTTTTGCATGTCTAACTGCTGGCAGGCCCTCTGGCTTTTTCGGAGGTCCCCTTCCATCTTACGTTCTTCTTGTTTATTTTTAAATCTTATTCTGTTAAGAAAATGTAGACAGATAAAATAAACAGGTAGAGAAACTGAGATGCATTACAGTTGATATCTTTTCTAAAATAGAAAATCTAAGATTCTAGCTTTACTAATTCTCTCAGACCAGGACAACACTGAAGTTAAGAAGTCCTTCTGACATTGTTTCTTGGGAATTTCTTGGCTTTTTTTGGATCACACTATATTGAACACTGTTTCTTCATCAGGTTTTCCTAAGACACAAAAAAGTGGTTCACTAAACATCTGCAGAAGATACAGGCTTCCCTAGGCTTTCCTTCTCCACATATAACAAGCAAATCAAGAGAAAAAAACAATAAAACCTAAATAAATTCATCCTCATTTTAAAAACCGTTGTAGCAACACTGCTCAGGATTAGCTGTGCCTTTCCTTTTTTATTTCTTTAACAAAGATTACATAGTTCTCTGATTTGAAAAGTTGACTTAATTACTATGTATATTGTGTTATTAACATCTACAGAAATAAATGATGTAGCACATGCCTTTAAGGTGCATTTGCTTTTGCTTTAGAACTGAGAAATATACTCTACTTCAACTCTTACTTCTTATTCAAAACATTAAAAAATAGTAACACATTATAAGAATAACCTAACTTGAAGCATAAAAAGAATCGCAGTTCAGGCATTGCTTGAAGCATCAGTTACATCATTTTACCTGAACTGATCTGCAGCTTGTTCATTTGCTTGCTTTTTCATATGGAGTTTTTGTCTATAGTTTTCCAGTTTTTCTTCAGCTTTTCTCTTTTTTAATTCCTCATGACCAATCCCACTTCTGCCTATGTGAATTCAAAACATGAATGTAAGCAGTTGAGAAGCAATGATATCTAACTAAGTAAATTAAGAAATATCACAAACCTGTTTTTATGTTCAGAGGAATAGGTTCAACAATGCCTTCTCCTGTGGAGTTAAAAATAAGATATCAAGTCTTTCTCAAACTATGATTTGTGCAGTATATTCAAGCACGCAAACTACTTTTGCCATTAAATATGTACATTTTCCTGTGTTGTTCCTTTTTTTTTGCTTGGAAGATGAAAAATTCCAAATCAATGTATATTCAGTGCATTACAAATGACCCAGCTGGCCTGGAACTGCCTCTCTCTTTTGGCTTGCCTGCTGGATTGCTACAAATCTTTTTCAGAACACTACTCAACTGAAAGAAAACGGTCTTGACTTGACAGGTATATGACATACCTGTGGTGAAGACTGCTTTGTTACAGGCTTCTGTAGCACTTTTCATTTGAGAATCTCTCAACTTGACAAAGATGAAGCACAGAAAGAATCTGTTCAGGCCTGTTCATTTGTCAACTGTCTGCTAAAGACACGTTGAACGGGCACAGCAGTTACTGATGCATTATTTTACTTCATCTGCTAAAGCTATTTAAGGGTAGGCCAGTGTGCACCATTTCTTCAGAAACCAACTATAAATTCAAAGGGAAGGGCTGGCTTTTCGTGGAACACTATTACCTTTGCAACATCATGAAAACATCCTTAAAGCAATTCCTGTAGGCATGCACATATGGAAGTGCATTTACTGAGCAGCAAGTACTGCTGTTTCCCTTGCACCTCTCGATAACCTATACCGTTTTTTAGGAGATTTACTGCTGTTTTTTGTTTTGCCACAACACATTCACAGTTCAGCAACACTAGGGTTCTTGGAGAGGCATTTATCCACCCTGTCTACAAATGAAGTGGCAGCTTCAGACTGTAAAATATAAAGGCACACACTTCCAGTGACAGCTTACCGCTCTTGCCAAGGGCCTGGCCGCTCTTGTAGCCCATCTTCTGGAGCAAAGCAAAGCCCTTGTTCTCACTGCCCAAAGCACTTTTCAATACCAAGTCACGTCTCTCTTTTTCTTCTTCTTTTATACTCTTTTGTCTGTTCTTCTCATTGGCTTCTTTTTGCTTCTCTTCTTTCTGAATAGCTTCCTTCACCCG